ATTATAATAAGTAGACTTTGGAAAATGAAAATACACTCCAAAGTATATTCCAGAGTACACTTTGGAAGAAGTTGATGGGACTTATGTCTTGAGTTACCATGCTCAGGTTGGATTTTTAGAACTGCAACAACCATGCGTTAGATTTATACAGTATAAAAACATAAAAATACATGACATAACCTCACAATAAAGATTCTTCTTGCTTTAAAATTGTTTCCTTATTGTTATGTATATTCAATTATTTGATGCATCTTTTGATACTGTCCCCTGCTTTGGGATTTATTTTAATTAAGACTGTGTTATAAGTACCCTAGATATAGATGATAGATAGATAGATAGATAGATAGATAGATAGATAGATAGATAGATTAGATATATATATAGATAAATAATACTATTTCGCATAAATATAAATACAGCAACTTTCTATCTGGCTAGAAGCAGGGGATTTGCACATTGGGCTGATCCTCACTAATGAGATATTGCTTATCTGTCACATTTTACATGAATATTAATTTAAAAGGAAATAATTTATACCAATAAAAGCCCAAATCTTTCTGCTACCATACAGAAGACTGGAGGTGGAAGTGACTTTGCAACTCTAATAGACAAAGTGTGGTTTGTGATTGTCCTTCTTCTGCACGTCAGATTCCTCCAGGGGTTAGACCCTTGCAATGGGCAAACTTTCTCCACCCTGGGGGCACCTCATCTATCTTGGTGCTCAATCTCAGTCAACTCAGCTCTGTCAAGTAACTCTGCATGTTGTCCTGTTGCTTGAGGTGTGACTGGGCAGGCCTCGAGTTGCTGCACCTTCACTTCCAGCAAGACAACCACTTTGCACTTGCTACAAGTGCACTGGTGCTTGTTCTCTGGCAGAATGACAAACATGGCACAGGCGTTACAGGTCACTGCAGCAGCTCCCTCGCCCTCCATGTCTCTGGTCCTATACACACCAAGAGAAACCTGGGCCTCCCCTGCTAAAAGCCCTTGCAAACCCCCCTGTTTGCGAGGTGTGTTTGCGAGCTCTGATTGTGAGCTCCGAGGATCTGCAGTGAGCTAAGTTTGACTGCTGCTGGTTGCTAACTTCGTCATGTGCTATTAATCATGTGAACAGCTGAGACAGCAGGGGGTCAAAAACTCCAAAGCTGGATTTCATTAGCATGATGCCCTTGAAAAAGCCAACTCACAACAGCCACACACCTATACTGTTTCTGTAAAGGCCTTGAGTCTTATGAAGAACTTGATCCACAAAACACATAAACTGGAGTATTCAGACTTGCGTCTAGGAAACTAAACAGTTTCACTTGAGTCATTTAACTAATCCATTTAACTAATCCACCTAGACTGGGTGAGCTTCTTGAGAAATATGCACTGGCATCTACATTCCTAGGGCCTCGGTGTGACTGAATGATATTGAACCAATGACAACGCTAGCAGAAATAGAAAGTGTATGAACTCCTGAGGTGACATTTTAGAAGAGCAACGACCTATGCTGAACTCTGAGTAACATAATAGGGGAATGGCACGTAAGAACTTAAAACGCTCGTTGGAAGTCACACGGTATTTCCAGTGTGCAACTTTGGAAGCCATTAACTTTAACTGAGGGATGGAGAACCGGATCTGGCCTACTGGCCAGATCTACTTATCTACACACTCTCCTGAAGGCCAAGTTTGACAGGTGGGTAGGCATATCCAATTGCTTCACCACAGCAGGGCTGCAGAGAGAACAGGAACAGCAGATTCCTTGGGATTTGCACTTCCTTCCCAGGTCTTCCCAAACAGATCTTTTGGGGAATTGTCTCAGCCAGAAGATGTAAACATAAAAATATGTCACTTTTCAAAATTTATATTGTGAGACCACCTCTGTCATATGTCATCCCACCAGCAGTGGAGCATATGCCCACGCTGCCCAGGGCGGGCACACTCCTGAGGGGCACACGGTGTGGATGGTGTCCTCCCAGATGCAGGATAGCCACTCAGGTGCATGGAGCGGCGTGCGGCCATGCAGCTGGGACCAGAGCGAGCTGCTGATGGCAGACATTCGTGCACAACCCACCTGCGACTCCCAAGCCTCCCCCAAGCTGTCAAAACGAAGGGGGGGGGGAATGCTGCTGGCAGAACTTCACAGCTCCCCCCTTCCCTTGACGGCTCAGGATAGGCTTGGGAGTCACGGGCGGGTGGCACGTCAAATGTCACCCCCCTCAGCAAAGTCACCTGGGGCGGTCCACCCCCACTGCCCCCCTTCCTCCACCCCTGCATCCCACTGTAACCAATATCCCACTCCCTCTTTGTCATGTCTGGGGAGGAGGAGTTTGGAGGAGTTTGGATTTGATATCCCTCTTTATCACTACCCTAAGGAGTCTCAAAGCGGCTAACAATCTCCTTTCCCTTCCTCCCCCACAACAAACACTATGCGAGGTGAGTGAGGCTGAGAGACTTCAGAGAAGTGTGACTGGCCCAGAGTCACCCAGCAGCTGCATGTGGAGGAGCGGGGAAGCGAACCCGGTTCCCCAGATTACGAGTCTACCACTCTTAACCACTACACCACACTGTCTGCTCTTCAGCTGCCTTGAGAGTGGACGTATTTTAAAGGTGCTCCTGAATGCCTGACAATAGGATATATGCTCAGATTCCTGTGTGCTTCCAGATGGAGGTTTACTGGGAAATCAGTATTAGTCTCCCACACAAGGCTTCTGCGCTGTCCGCTCCATGTTGCCATCATCAAAATGTCAGGCCATGTTTTAAAAAACATTGAATCCAGATTTCCTCTTACAGTGGGAAATACGTTAAAGTAAACTTTTCCCATCTATTATAAATTTGCAGTCATCACTGGCACGGAAGCTTGATAGCGCATTTGTTCAGGTAGGCAGCTTGTCATACATGTGGCAATGTTTCTGTGGGCGGCCTCTCTCGCTACACCCACATTTCCATTTGCACAAACTAACTGTTTGGTTTCCCGCAGCTCAAAGGATATTTAAAAAATAAAAAATTGGAGCTTGCCCACCTGTCTCCACCAAAAGGGTAAGCCTCCATTTTGCCCTGATAACTGGGGGCTCGTAGAAATTTGCTCTTCCTCCAAAGTTCCCAAACTTCCTGCATGCATGCTCCAAATGGGAAGAGGTAGCAGAGAGCAGGGAAGCTGTGACTGAGAGGAGGGGCCAGAAAAAGGCAGCACAGAAACGCACTCACTGTTGTGAATGAGGCAAAGAGGTAATTATCTATGAAAAATCTAAGACCAAAAAATGAAGCGTGTGGACAATCATGTGCCAAATGTGTAAAATCCCCAGATAGGCAAGACGGTGAAATGAGGATACAGAGGACCCAACAGTGCATAAACATCTGTGTGATTTTTATTTTATTTTTTGCAGGGTTGTGCTGAGCCTAATTTATGCCATATTCACACAAGAGTCCTCAGGCAGCCTTGCTTTTAAGTTTTCTCACCAGGGCTACTCCACCGGGGCTACCTCTACTTCCATAGTCTCAAAGCACTTGATGATGGATAGGAAAAAAACAAAAACTCAGCCTGCAAACTCTAATTGGCTTAACCAGTAGATTTATCAACTGAAGGCTAATTTTAATCAAACACGGCAGATTTTCATTGGTGGGGCCACAAATTCTGGGGAAACTTCTTGTTTCTATAGGTCATACTGATTCTGTTATGCTATTGAAATGTAGAATGTTTTCCCCTCCCTTATCCCTAGTAAATATTAGGTTTTGTTTATTAAATTGTTAATAAAAATAACTTGGATACCCTTTAATATCCCAGATTGACAGCGCTAACTGAAACAGTACTTTGGGTAGCTATGAAGATATTTTCCTCAGAGCTAATGCAGAGAGAAGACTTTCCCCCATATGTTGCAACATGCTCTCTTTCCCACAGCTCCCATTTTACAGTAAATTCTAGATGTATGCCCTGGTTAGTTCATATCTGTGAGTCAGTCAGTCAGCTTCCTGTTTTGAAGTCACAAAACATGTGATTTTATTTTTTAAAGAAAAAAAAAAAGAAAGCAGAAAAAATATGATTATTAAAAAAACACCCAAAAAGTGTAGCAGGAAACTCAATGTGTATAGCTAACAGATGCTGTAATCCTAATCCCAGCTACCTAGGTATAAAACCCATTGTAATTGATATGAGTTTAAAGCTCCTTTTGAACTTTAGAAATGCTTGTGGGAGGAAACCAATGGGAGAGTAATGTCCCTGCTAGAACTGCATTTTTAAAATTGTCAAATCTGGAAGCCGCTCAAGTATGCTGTGGTAGCAAATGCAAGATACTGCAATGCCTGCTAAAACTGAGGCCAGCTACTGTGGTCTGACACAATCCAAACATGTTGTGTCCCCTTGTGGCTTATGAAGAGTAAATGTATAGCTGGACTAGAAGATCACCTTTCTGCAGAACTGAACCCTAACAGAAAGGCAAATATAACCTGTGCTTACACTCTTGCGAGCCACAGACATATTTGCTTTAGGTTACATAGAGCCATCCTGCAATTCAAGGATTGGAGAACGACAACTTGTTTGCCAGAAGAGGCCCACTCAGGACTCAAGCTTACCTTTAAAGTCTTCTGATAATAAATGAATTACACCAGACTGGCACATGAGATCTCTGCATATTCGCAGTTAGAACTATGATCGCACTGCATATTCACAAGTGAATATTTTTGTCTTAACACTACAAAACCCTCTTCCAATACCTTCTTTCATTATGTGGTTGTGCCTGCTTGCACCTTCAGTGCAATTTTTGTTTTCACTGCAGCCAATCTGAGATCATGGTAAACATCGCGATTCCATGTAACCCATCAGATTTGGTTTGGAATGGATTACAGAATGCATTTGGGATGTCTACTGGAATTTCAAATGGGAAATCCAGTTCCGCTGAAGTATCTTCAGTGTGAAACTGGACTTACCCATATCCCTGCTGAAAATACTACAGAATAGTCACCAGCGATTTTATGAATCACATTTGAAACATTCACTCTAAGCAAATGAGTTGAGAACTTACTGCTTGTGTTGAGGTTATTTTCCCCAGTCTGTGGAAGAGGGTCTGCACCCTGGATGACTTGTAGTACTCCAACTGTCCGGACAGGAGGATCCAGTGCTACAGAGCTTTCATTCACAGTTATATCGCTTGCTCCTGTAATCTGATTAGTTGGTGGCCCTCCTATAGAAGCTTCAAAATCTGGAGGTATGTCATCTACACAATCTGCATTGGGCTAATGAAAACAAGAAAGAAGAGTCTAATGGAAATGGGGAGAGAGATTCTGAAAGGAAATATTTGTCTCTGGATTACAGGAAGAAATAGTTCATTTAGTTCTATAGTTCATTGTAGTTCCAAATATTACCTTGTCATGGATTTCAAAACATGCATTTTGGCTTCTCTTTACAGGATAGTCTCTATTAGTTTGCAAATTCTTCTGAAAGCAAATGGTCATTTAGAGACTATCCATACCTAGATTGTTATGTTAGATATTTGTTGATGGCACCAAAACACCAACGCCTGTAACAGCATAAGCCTAACCATGTCTACTCAGAAGTAAGTGCCAGTGAATTCAATGATGCTTAATGCAAGGTAACTGGGGTTATGGCTGCAGCCTAAATCAGTAATCTTATCTTGCACATATCCTCACAGAAATGTTTATCCAAACTGGAGGCATACGACATCATGTGCCTTTTTTTCAGAACTGATGCATGCTTGGTATATGGAGTTAATACTTAATTTAGACGTTTTCTTTGTAACCCTTCAGGTGTCTTAATGGATGATATCTACTAGACGCTTTGCTAATTTATGGGGTTACTGCTGGGTTCCCCATTGTGGTACTGGGGGGGTGCCATGCTACCCTCAGACACACTCTGTTCCTCACAATTTTCACTTAATTTTTCGCTTAAAAATGTGTGGGTATTCTTTGATTTTGGGGGTGTTTTGTTGTAGGGGTTGTCAGTTTTGGGGAGGGTTGCTTACTTTGTTGCCTTGTGTTTTGTTTTATGGGTTGTGTGTTTATCCGATCTGGGAAGTTTTGAGCTTCAGGTTTTCCCCATACATTAAATATTATGGTTCATGCTGAAAATGTCACTTGGGGTGGGGGGGTGGGGTTGTGTAGTTTATATTGTCTTATTAGCATTGGTGAGGAAATGGCTTTAGGAGACCCAAAATCTTCAGGATAGAAATATAATGCTCACTAGGATGACACTTGCTTATTCATTTTTTTAAAAAAGTGGAATTAGGATTAATGAAAATACCATGTTCCGTGTTCTACCACTTTACATGCTTACCGGAATCCCTAGTGCTTTTAAGATGTTCATTTTACACATAGGGCAGGTGCGATGGTCTAGTAGCCATGGATCTACACAAGATTTGTGAAAGAGGTGCCTACAAAGGGAGAAAAATGAATAAAGTCTATACAAGATACAATTTCTCAAAGTAGCAGTTGATACCATCTGTTTTGAAAAAGCCCAGAAGTGTCTTGTAGCGTAAGGACTATACAGCTGAAGATATATCTGTGTGGAAAATACTTTTGTCAAGAAAAACCTGATGAAAGAAGACCTGTACTGAAAAACAGAAGTGCTTTGTAGTTAATAAATTGTAGTGGATGGAACCTAGCTTGTAACTTCAAATGTAAAATTAGCAGAAAAAAGCTCCCTAAATAAAAACTTCAGAAGATGAAATAAAATGGAAGCAATTTTCCATATTAAAAACCAGACCCTAAGAAACATTTATCTGCTGACAGCAGATTTATCATCCTTGGTAATGTGAAAAGTAGCATAAATAAGAAAAAAAAACTATTTATTGTGTTTCACCTCTGTATTCATGACTGGAGAGACTGCAAAACGCAAGATCTGCAACTGCAGAAAGAGAACTGACAGCATACAATTTGATCTGTGAACATAGAACCTATCAACCTGCGTAGGCTGAGAATTGGAGTAATGGGCATTGATTCCCTAACAGGCTTGCTTCTTTGCTTGGAAAAAGATGCATGCAGTCTGTCACATCTGTTTATTTACTGGTTTCGGTTTACTTCCCTCCCCCCCCCGCCCCCACTGATCATAAAAGGAACATATTACATTAGATTGGGTCCAAAGGTTCTATTCCCCTGACAAAGGAAGACTTCTTCCATCAGAGCAAAGCAACCTTTGAATCTAAATCATCTGTTCCAAAATTGGATTTTTCATGTGGGCTTTCCAAAAATACTAGCAGCATGTGCACTGAGGTAGCTGAAAAGGGGGCATGTATATGACACCACTGCTATATAGATGATATATCTAAGAAAAGATGCAGTTAAATTGCTTCTACTTTAAGGTGATCCAGTAAGTTAAAAAAAATCCCAATCAGATAAATTTCCGGCAACCAAATTTCAAACACCAATGCTGTTTCTGTAGCCCCCCCCCAAGCTACTGTTATTGTTTTAGCTTTAATTGGGGTTTTTGGGGGGTGTTTAAAGCATATTGCACTGTTAGCAAATGACAAGGACGTATTATTGGCCTGTGAAGAACACCACAAAAATCAATTACTTTATTAATTGTATCTCTCTAATTGGATGGTTATATCAACTCACCGGCAGGGCAAGATCCTGACAACGTCGTTCGGTTTGTAACCCTCAATACACACTGCACAGTTATCGAAATCGGGTTCAGTTTCCTACAGAAACATTGAGGTTGACATTTTCAATGAAAAGCATGGCAGACTGAAATACACTGACATTTAATAACATCCCCAAGTCCTTCCAGGTTCTGAGAATTTGGTTTAGTCCAACTGGTTACAGTGTCCATTTGCAAAGGGATCCCTGTAATTCAGGAATGGAGAACCTGTGGCACTCCAAACTCTCACCAACCCCAGCCAGCCATGGTTAACGGTCAGAAATGACAGGAGCTGGAGTCAAGCAATATTTGGAGGGAACCATGTTGGTACCACTGCTGAAGCACATAACAGAGGCCAGTTTCAACCCTTCCTCCACATGGGGAGTCAATGTAGCAGGTTGCTGCAGGTATGAGCAACCAGTGTGTGCCTCCCATACAGCACTCTCCTCAGTCCTCACCAGGCCCTTTTGTGGAAGAAAGTAACCCACACAAAGGTTTCTGGTTTATTTTATTGCCCACGGCACAATGCCTAACTGCATTGCCCACCCCCACCCTGCTTGGTTAAAACGAAGACTTAAGGAAAAAATTACCTTATCTCCTTTCCTTATCGTTCTGACCTGCAGTTTGCTGATTGCTTTCTTTGCAGCATCTCCGAGACGGCGCTAAAAATGTAATATATCACTCTTTACTAAAGAGCACACCTTCACACAGACGTTCTTGCATGGCTCTGTAATAGTTTGATGGTCCAAGATCATTTTAAATGAAACAGAGAAGAGCTACGTAAATGCAATATTGGTTTCAAAGAGGTCACTAATACGGGGAGTAATTGGTATCGACAAAACACCAGGTGCAGGATGGATTAAAAGGTATCCAATTATCTCACATTGTTATAGATGTTCAATCTGTTGGAACAGGAACCAATGACAGAAGAATCAGGTGTAGCTGATTTTTGCTGATCCCCTGCTACATATTCCATACTACATAATATTCCAGAGAGCCCGGCAACCTTTGGGAGCAGGGTATTTTTTAAAAAAGGTGGGAAGGGCTTAGGTGGATAGGAGGGATCTACAAAAAACAGGTGTCCTGACTTGTGCAAGTAGAAGCACTTTTTTTGACAATTCAGGGCAAACAAAAATGGTTCTTCACACAAAACACAGTTAAAGTACATCCCACAAGATCTAGCAATGGTCACCAACTAAGATAGCAGTATGCCTCTGAATACCAGTTGTTGGAATCACAAACATGCTCAATGAATGAGTGCTCTTGCAAGAACAGGGTTATATTATGAGTGGTATCAGAGCAGGTCCATTATTGTCTGTGTGTTGCTTACAGCACAATCCTAAACAGGCTGATTTAGAAGTAATTCCTACTGAATTCAGTTGGGCTTGCAAGGCAAAAACAAGTACTTCTTCATACAGTGCACAGAATTTGCTTCCAAAAGAGGCAACGATGACCACCAACTTGTATGGCTTTAAATGCAGATTAGTCAGATTCCTGAAGGATAAAGCTATCAAAGGTTACTATCCCTAAGGGTGATGTTCAACCCCCATTTGTCAGAGGCAGCAATGCTTCTAAATGCAGTTGCTGGAAACCAAAGGAGGGGATGGTGGTGCTGTTGTGCTCAGGTCCTGACTTCCCATGGGCATCAAGATGGCCACTGAGAAAATATTGCTGGGTTAAGATGGGCCTTTGGCCTGATCCAGCAGGTCTTGCAACCTGGAGGCCAAATAAAGAGGCAGGCACAGAGGCTGGGTTGAACTAAAACCATTAAATTTGAGATTAAAACCCATAAAACCGCTGCAGAGGGAAACACTATCAGTGTGGGATCAAACTTGAAACTGAAGCAAATTGCAATCTCTAGGGCAACCAAACCCAGGAACTAGAGGCACAGCTGTCTAGTCTTCATCCCTTTCCCAGGCCACACCATGAAGGTGAACAGGAAGGTCTACGCAAAAGAAGTTGCAGGGTGTTGTGCAAAGGCCTTGCCATTATGTTGCAAGAGGTATATCCCTGGCAGAATCCCAGACTGCATTCCTTGGCCAAATACCTGAAAATGTTCCATACTCTGCAACATTTGAAAATGCATTTCCCCACTACATTTTATTGCTAAATGAATACTTTTCTAAGCTAAGAAAAATGACTCTGGCACTTTAGCACTTCATCCACTTTCTCCCAACCTAAGTACGTACTGACTTCACACCATCCCTGCATGAGTGAAGCCATCTGCCTGGAGAATTAGGGTAAAAATTATTCCACATATTTTTTGCATCTGAAAGTCTGGAATGTGAATCATTCTTCACCCATCTGTTTCCATTTGCTTTTTTGTTTGTTTGTTTTTCCAAGGCACCATTCCAGTTTTCAGAAAGGAGAAGCAAAGATTTGGAAAGGGGGAAGCAGTAAGAAATGTAGATTAAGTTTCCAAAAAAAGAAAAAAAGCAGTTTATTTTAAGAGCTGTCGCTGCAGTTATTTCTTTTTTAAACCATGTAATGGACTATAATAAGGCTATCAACTTAGGCCAAACTTCTAGTTGGCTGCTCACCCTTACCTCCACTTTTTGTTTAAGCAATTATTAAATACGGAGTCACTCCACTTCATTGTTGGAGCCACTCCGTGTAAAGAAGACAGTGAGCTGATAAAAATATATAGGAGCTCCTGAAGAATCTTGTCATGTGATCCAACACACATGTGGGACACTTCCTCTTCCAAATGGCTCCACTGAGTTTCTTGCATTTACTATATCTCTGTGTACTGGATATATATTGGATGTTAACGTTGCTCTGTTCACAGAAGGACCTTCAGTTCATGGTTAAAAAAAAACCCCTCGTTATGTTTTTGTAGATAAATTTCATTATGTTTTTGAATTTCTTGATCTTTTTTTCCTGCTAATTAAATCATGTTATATATTTTCGGTTTAATTGCCCTTATTATGTTAGTGCAATATATGGGGTTTAACATCTTGGGGCCACGCTGACACCTCCCAAAGGTCTCCTACTTGGGTGGGAAGGCTGTAGTGCTGGGGGCAGCCTTCATGCCCTGGAAACGCTTTCTGCTTCTGCTCATCATGGAAGAAAGGCACCTTCCACCCTGTATTGAGCAGCAGAAGAGAAGCCATGCTGCGTGGAGAAGGCTGCCATCACCTCTCCCTGGGACGCACAGCTTTGCTTCTGTTGCACAATATGGAGGCAAAACAGTCCATACTAAGCAGGGAAAGAGAAAGATGTGATTCCAACTGCACATTGGGAGGCTATGTTTTATAATTTCACCAGAGTTGTTTACCTACCCAAGAGGCCCTGGTCAAATGCTGATGACATCCTTACTGAGGGGTGTATGTGGTGGTCGCATTCCACTATGTAGTGCTGCGTCAGGGCCATCCACAGTCCTCTTGAGTAGCACTATTTAGTCGGCACAAATTTCAGCCACCACAATGAGTGGGCGCTGAAAAGTGGTGCACTCTGGCTGGATCACGTCCATCGTTTGCAAATGTGAAACATGTCCTTCATACAGCTCCTCAGAAGGGAGATAACAAAATGAACATTTAATGTAGCTCTTGATCATGACATGCTCGCCAACTATTATCTTGTAATGCAGCGTTTTATCTTTGGCACCATTTCTCTCACAGCTTGCACAGAATGGAGGCGAAAGGCAAGAGGGAGGAAAATATTTCTTGTGCGCTTTTAATATATATCAAAGAATGTGAGCTAGTGTAAAATAGATCTGGCAGGATGGCCATGATAGTTTGCTCCTCAATTTTGCTCTCATGAAGCATTTAAGAATAAAACCATTTATTATTAAGATAACACTAGTTGCATCCAAATGACGTTTGATTCAGAGAAGACCTATTTAAATGAATGGATCCCGTTTGTCATGTTCATTAATTTTAGTGGATCCACTGCAAGAAGGATTAGCAATGAACACAACCCCATGCCACCTACTAAATACTTTCCACCTACTAAATGTACTTTCATATTAATTGTTCATCATTTAAATGACACACTCCTTGCCTCCCTGAATATTTTTGCTGGAAACTTCAACTTTTGAGTCAGCAGATGTTTAATACTTTTGGGAATTAGAAATTCAGTTTAAGATGGAAAATGAGGGTGGAAAATAACAGATTAAATATTTGTGATACTTTTGGAATACACTTAAGTTTTAAAAATATGATCACCATATAAGACAAAGTAGAATACTTTCTCATTTTTACAGTGTTTAGACATTTATCCAGGGCAGTTCCCTTTCTCCTCATTCCATGTGTCGCTTGAGTGGGGAAAGCTCCAGTGATCAGGACCAACTCAAATGGTTGGGTCATCTAAATATTCTCCCATCCCATGCAGCCTATACAAAGGAAACATAATTCCAATACTCCAACTTCTAAGTGATCAGTGACTCTTCCTATAGGAGGAGCTGTATTCACTTGGGGAGGCTGTGTTAGCTATTCCACTACTTGTGGAAGCTCATAGTGTCGCAGCATGTGGAAGAGCCTTCTTGGTAGTGGCTCCAGAGCTCTGGAACGTCCTTTCACTGGATCTACACTGTATAAGTGACAATGACATTCCAAGCTGACCTTTTAATCTAAGGTGAATTTTAAAGGGTATTTTGTCAATTTGGAGAGGAGCAGGGTTTTTTTTTTTACTGGTTTATGTGGAAGAGGGTTATTTACTATGGTGGATAGCAGCGGTGGATTCCTTTTTTTAACTTGAAAGAAGATGAAGTTTTGCTGTTGCTTGTGATGGTGGCAGCAGTAGTAAAGCTCTTCTAAGTGGCTGGCAGAAGTCATCATCCTTTTCTTTCCACAATGCCTGTGGACTGCTCTTTGCCACTGCAACCAGAAGTGATATTTTCTTCCTAGCAAACAGAGAAACTACTTTTTTCTCATGTTATGGTCCACTGACTGACACCTGCCTTTTGTGTTTTAGATCTGAGATGAGACTATACAGCTTCCTCTGCCATAAAATTCTAGAGCTGTAACCAATTTGACATGAGCTTGGGTGCTCTCTGTCAAAAGGAAAGCAAACCAGTGCAGAAAACAAATGAAACACATATTTAAATAATTAAAATAGGCTGCTGACAGAACTAAAATACCACATGATAAAGATATTGGCAAGAATGACCTGAAACAGGGGTTACCAATCTTTTTTGGGATCGTGGCCACATTTGCAATCCAGAAAAACTACTGTGGGCACCACACATGCAGCCCCTCCTCTAAATTGTTCCTTGCAGTATAATCAGGCTTTTAAAAGCCTTCTGTTGGCTAAACAAGGGGTTTTCTCCCCAAGCCTCTTTGCAGTGGAGGAAGCAGCAGAGGGATGGGACCCTGTGGATAGCAAGGAAAGTTCTTGTGGATGCGTGTCTGCCCCCAGGCAGCATGTTAGCAACCCATGATGTAATTATCATAGCTAGTGCTATGCATTATATATCTGTGAACGTTATACTGAGCGGAGGGAACGACAAAGGCCAAGCTAAAGAGGGCAAATGTTTGCAACAAATGGCTTTAGAAGAAGAGATGGAAAACCTCCATACTTCAAATGTCAAACATGCAATACTACACCGGACGTTAAGCTTTGAGCACTCTGCCCAAGAAGACGCAGAAGAAATACTGAATATGTGAGAGCCAAAGGCCAAACAGATACAAGTTATAAGCAAGCTGATGTTTCACATCATTTCTACATATCATACAGCCAAAGATATATTAACTGTTAATGTTTTATATTTTGATCCAGGCAGGAAGGGCTACTTTAATAGAAGAACTCATGGCACAGGAATAAAGGGAAATGGTTGCAGCAAAGACTAATGGCACAGATTGAAAGAAAGCTGTCAAGAGAAGACTCCCTATTAGCAGCTCTCAGTTTCAGAATGGAAGCTGGCAAGCAATAAATGTTGACAACAGGACTTGGAAATCGATACTCTCTGAACATTAAGCCAAGGAAATTTCATTTTTTTATTCCAAAGCAAACAAGAGGAATAAGTCAGTGGCGGTTTTTTAAATCTGCATTGAGTTCATCAGATGCAGCTGATGGATTGCAGGAGGGAGAATGGGACAGTTTATTTATTACATTTAGATTCCACCTATACATGGTTCACCTGAAATTATCCTCACAACAATCATATGAGCCAGGTTAGGCAAAAGAGATAGTGACTGGCCCAAGGTTCATGGTTGAGTGGAGATGAACTCTGGTCTCTCAGGTTTTGGTCCAACACTCTGACCACTACACGTCAAAAAACACACCAAAAATTCCACAGGAATCTTTATTCTCTTTAGTAGGAAAGATTCAGTTTGTGATGTGTACCAACTGCAACCTGCTCTTTCAAACATAGCTCTGCTAGAAAGTTGGAGGGAAATTTCCAACTTTTAATAAAGAAAACATTTATGACCAAAGCAGAGACATCACCTTGTCAACAAAGGTCGGTATAGTTAAAGCTATGGTTTTCCCAGTAGTGATGTATGGAAGTGAGAGCTGGAGCATAAAGAAGGCTGATCGCCAAAGAATTGATGCTTTTGAATTATGGTGCTGGAGGAGACTCTTGAGAGTCCCATGGACTGCAAGAAGATCAAACCTATCCATTCGGAAGGAAATCAGCCCTGAGTGCTCACTGGAAGGACAGATCCTGAAGCTGAGACTCCAATATTTTGGCCACCTCATGAGAAGAGAAGACTCCCTGGAAAAGACCTTGATGTTGGGAAAGATGGAGGGCACAAGGAGAAGGGGACGACAGAGGATGAGATGGTTGGACAGTGTTCTTGAAGCTACCAGCATGAGTCTGCCCAAACTGCGGGAGGCAGTGGGAGACAGGAGTGCCTGGTGTGCTCTGGTCCATGGGGTCACGAAGAGTCGGACACGACTAAACGACTAAACAACAACAAAATGGGTGGACATGTGCCACAAAAGTTGATATTGTTCAAGGTGTGTGTGTGGGGGGGGGTTGTATCTTTTTTATGCATGCACCAGTGAAGAGACTCTTGATGGGCAGAATAAGTTGACCATTATAACAGCCATGGCATGTCAACGAATGATGCTTACAGATGTACTGCCACCAATGGCACTGACTGAACATAATTTCAGTTGAATGAAATATAAAAATAAAAGTGCAAGCCTTGCTTTCCAGAATTTATTCCAAGCAATCTTTCGTCCAATAAACTTGCATATAATCTGTGGGCTATTTTACTCTCCATTCTGAATATTCTTTAATAAGGTATGCAAAGCTTAATCTTACATTTGTCAGCAGTATTGCACATTTGCATTTTTAGCATGTCTGAAATATGTAGCTTTTCAGTCTCTTTTACTGAAGCCATTTGTGTAATATTTAATCCTCTTTAGCGGAAGCCATTTGTAGTTCCTCCAGTGAATTATGTGCTCACAAATTTTTTTTAGTCTCTTTCTTTGCATTTATATAATACAAAAGTACAAATACACTTAACTTAATTCCCATCTCCCCTTTCCCCAAAGTATTCTCTGTGCATATATTAGTATAAGGCAAGTATAATATAGCCCATATGTTTATTCTTAAATGATTATAATTGGATATTGTGATATTTTCTTAGCAGATTGTTCCAGAGTGCCATGGGTTGCTTGTGGCTTTGTCATTATGCTATCTTTTCTAATGTACTGAACAAACATGTACCAAATTTCTTCAAAATCATCTCTGGCTTTCGTGTTTCTTCGAGCTTTAAGTTGCTTTGACAATTTTTCCATGACAGCAATGTTTCCAGCCATGTGTCCAATGTTAAAATGGCATCTTTCTTATATATTTATATATTAGTGGAGGAGGACTGCCACTGGGATCACAGTGCATAGAGAGTTTTATTCCTCCCCTCTCCAGATGTGATTTGGCTGAAAATCGCCCTCCCACACAGGAATGAAGTTTAGCAGTTTAAAAGTTCCACTGGACATTAATGGAGATTTTTTTCTTATGAATCTAATAGACATGTCCAGAATGTGGGGAGATATTTGCCCAAGAAGAGAGAAAGGACAAATCTCATTTCCTTGCATGTTATGGTTCTAATGACAACTGGATCCCTGTGGCTGTAACTAAAGAAGAAGTAACAGAAATGTAATGTATGGTTTGGCCCCAAGGTATCCGTTTATGTCTCTGAAATAGCCTGATATATGTGAGCAGTGATGCATATGTGTAGACATACAAACTGCTGGTTCAAAATTTTGGCTGGGGTGTGGGTGCTACTTCAGTCAGTGGGGCTAAAAAAGAAAGGTAACTGTTATGTACTGAAGTTCTTACCCTAGGCCAGCAGGGGGATACTGTAGATAGTTATGCAAATGAAAGATTGAAAGTGACGTTCAGTGATTGGATAGTGTGTATGCAAATGAAGGATCGAAAGTGACGTTCAGTGATTGGATAGTTTTAGAAAGTTGTTACAGTAACAAGGTACTGGAGCTCTATATAAGCAGGCTGACTGAGCCCTTCAGCTCAGTTCAGTTCTGGCCTCAGAATAAAGAAGAGCTGTTTGAAGAATCGCTATGTCGTCTGATATGTTCGCCCACAACCTAACAGTAACTGCTGGATCAGGATCACTGTACCCTGGTGCTGATAAAAGAGGTTACAGAAAACAGGCAGGGGCTGGATGGCTGGTAGAAACCTGAAAATAGGAAACTATTCTTCTTCATGAAAATAGTTATTTTTCTTTCATACATTATATTACTCATCTTCTATCTGCAGAAGTTTGTCCACTTTTAAAAGAAGTTACAGCTTTTTCTTCTTCTTTTTTTGCTTTTTTTTAACTTACTGCCATTTCCCACTTGGTACTAGATCTGACTTCTCTCTGTCTGGGCCTTTCACTCCTTATCTGTTGCCTTTTGGCATTTCCAGTTCCAATTCCTCAACCTGAGACCAAGAATGAAGTGTGCACACAACAAAGCAGGAATGCAAGAACTCTGCTACCATCACAAGCCATATGGGAGTTAGGTGCCCCATTTTCAAGCAGGAGTAAAATTCTCTTACTTTGCCTTAAGTAATGTGTTAATGGTTGTTTTCTCTGGAGTAAAAAATAAATAAAAATAGTGTGAACACATTCCTGGGCATAGAACTATCAGTTCTGACACCTCACTTATTCAGTGCAAGAACTGTCAAATGGCACATCATCTTGTTATTCTCTTAGCTGTTGTATTGTATTATTATTATTTGTTAGATTTCTGACAACCCGTCATGATAAGTTCTCATGATGAATTACAGCAATATAAAAATATAACATTAAAAACAGTTCTCAAAGGCCAGGGGAAACAGGTGCCAGACACATCTCTGTGGGGAGGGAATTCCACGGTTCCTAGTACAGGTGAAAAATATAACAAGCACTTCATTGTGTAAGAATCTATTAATTCACCTGTCTTTCTTCCCTGTTTTTTTGTTTTTGTACTAGCTGACTCTCTCATTGCCTCTTTCCTTCATATTAAACATTTCCTTCTTGGCAATAAAAAGACAGGTTAATTTAAAGTGCAATTCATTACTATGGGTTCGGAAAGGTTAAATAACAATGACATAAACCCTTTTAAGGAACTTGGGGCAGTGTGGGAGAGAAAATTATGTCCATTTGCAAAGCTACTCACCTGGTTTCTGTCTCTAGCATTTGCATATCTGAACCTCTGAATGTAGTAGAAGACTAGCCATGCCAAGGAGATGATCATCAGCACAATGAAGGAGATGGAGACAAATACCACAGAGGTTCGGCTAACGTACTTCTGTAGGTTTCGGGTTCCAATTGTTATATGCATCATCACAGTAATATTTCGCTCCAGCAGACTCACTATCTCTTTCCCCTTTGGCTCAGGGATCATTATTGCTACAACATCTTCTGTACCTGCCAGATTGGAAAGAAGGAGAAACAACCATTAAAAAACAGCAACAACCAAGGAAAGCAGCAATTTTTAAGAGGAGGGAAAGCAATAGCATCACAGCAACAAAGAGTTGCAATGGCAATTGAAGAAAAGCATCTGCAGCATACTCTTATGCATTTATGTTGTTTTCCATCGAGGGAGGAAACAAACTTGAACCCAAAGAGAACTTTAGGTAGGGAGGTTGAAACTCAGAGTTGCAATAGGGTCCTGCAACAGCTTGCGGGAAGCCTATTTCCACAGTAGGAAACAGCGATTGAGTAATGACTCATAAGCGCTACACACCTTTCCTATTTGACCACTTGTATTTAAAGCTATTATTTAAGATCAAAGAGTACAAGGGTGCTATGATCATACAAAATGTCTAACTGTAAATCATGCCTCATGTTGGCTACGTCTTCAGTGGGAGCAATAGAGTCTCTGGTTGCTTTATTGCTTACATCGCTCCTTCTCTTTTTCTATTTCTAGATGACATTAATACAGAGTTTGCTATGAATTTTTAAGCAGCTGACAAGATGAATCACACTGAATCATGAATCAAAGGTGTCTAAATGCAATGAATGGGTAGGTTTTTCTGTCGTTCTTTCTCTAAACATCTCAAAATGCCATTTTTCTTTATTATTTAACAATTGGGGGGGGGATTGATGATGTGGTTAACTGAAAACTACTCACTTGCTGAGGGACATTTACCCATCCCTGTATTTGAGCTAAAAGGACTACAAGATGTTCCAGTGGCCTTTGATTAACAGCAGCCTCTAATTTTGCATTGCACAGGATTGTTAATGACTCTAGAGAGCATTACCAATAAGGAAATATAATCAGGAGAATGGTAGAAGTGTGACAACCACACTCTCTTCATCCACACGTTCTTACTGTCTTTCAACTTGATTTTCCAGGGCTCCAAAATGCACAGGGAGCCTCCATGGATACAAAAAGACCTTCCCACTACAGACACTCACCCTCCATGAGGGTGCGTTGGAAATCAACTGAAATAGTGGTGGAAAGGGGTGAAGCTGGCATGCTCATTCCTGCTGCCCTCCTTTATGTGCTTACGTTTCCCTATTAGTAATGCCTCTACAGGGCTTGAAATGATAGGTAAATCAAACACAACCCAGCGACATCTCAGTAGTCCATCCTCCAGAAATCAAGATGCTTCCTATTCTATCTTTTGGTTCTATATTCAGAATCATTTTATTGCTTGCAGGTACAGACCCAGTCCATCCAGCACTAGTAACTGTATTTCTTGGAGAAATTTCAAGACATATAAAAAAAGAATTTCCTTTATTTAAAAAAAAAATCAGCACCATAATCTGTGTTCTGCATACCAGTCACCTCATAAACTGGAGAGTTTCACTGGATCAGTAATTTGAACTACATTTACTTATGTATTACCGCAGAGGTGGGTGAAAAATGTTGCAAAATTTTTGGACCACTCCATTAAACCAGCCCTGACCTAACTAGAGTTAGTTAGCACTAATTCCTATGGAAGCCAACAAAAAGGTTTTTGGGACAAGAAACTCAGGTCCCTTAAAAAAAAAAAAGGATCTAGTCATGACGATGGGTGTTGCAGAATTCCAGTGAAAATGGAAACAGAAGAACAATTTGCTGATGCTCACTTATTCATCCCATGTTGGAATGGAATTCAACTTGTTGTTGTTTTCAGTCTAGAAACAATGCATAATGGATGGCTTCCCTCTCCCTCATTTATATTGTGTTTCCTTTACACTGAAATGAATGGTGTAGGAAGAATGATCATTAATTATGTTAAATTCATAACTTACATAAATTAAGTAAACAATTACATAAATTCTGTTAAATAGCAGACAGTAGGATGATTAACATAGCATTTAGCAGGAACTGAGCTGCAGTGGAATGGAAACAGCACTGATTGTGACGAAGGCAGGTCAGAACTGAAATGGCTGCCTTCTTACTTCCCTAGTCATGACTAACTTTAGATGGATTGTACAGCACAACTCAACATGGTGTATAAGAACTCAGGCAAAAGGTTATGCTTCAATACCATATAATGCTGCAGTAGAGAAAACTGAAAATAACAACACTGAATTGAAAATTGTACTTAGGAGATTTTAGGAGCCTTATGTCAGAAACCTGTTACATTAACAGTCAATTCTTGGACAAACTTTTGAATGAAATAAAAATGTTTGAGACAATGTAGAAATAAATGTTTGATTTCTGAAGCTTACTCTCTGACATAGTAAGACAGGCATAGTTCATCTGAAATATTAAGTGGTAGACTTCTCTAAATCACATTTGGATTCAGCAAAAACTGCCTTGCAGAATAAGCTTAAAAATGTTAACTAGCCCACTCACATGTAACTATTGTCAGTCACTGATAACCAAAGCAATATAGAAATAGACCCATCTTTCCCCCACATGTATTGATTGATGATATTCATATTCCTTCCAGTTTATATATATATATATCTGATCTTACCTTTCTACTGCATTGGGTCTCAAAGGCAACTGACAACTCAATTTAAAAACAAAAACAAAATCGTCATCGTCATCACTACAATAATAACAACACTGCCCCCCCCCCGGACTCAGGAAAATGCTATAGAAAGCAAACCTGAAAACAGTATGACACAGAAGCCTAAACGCATAAAAACAGCAATAGCAGCAGCTGTTAAAATTAAATAAGCAAATAGATCTTGTAAACCAACAGAAGGTTGGGAGGACAGGACGGATTTAATGGGGCACTCAAAGAATAGCAGTGTCAGCACCAGGCAACAATTGTCTAGGAAAGGAGCTCTACAAATCTGATCATAACCATAAAAGAGACCCCCGGCAACCACCCACCTAATTCCAGGCAGTTCCTCAGCTGAAAACCTTCATTTCCAAAAACATCATTGTCTGATCATATACAGTGGTACCTCAGGTTACATACGCTTCAGGTTACATACGCTTCAGGTTACAGACTCCGCTAACCCAGAAATAGTGCTTCAGGTTAAGAACTTTGCTTCAGGATGAGAACAGAAATCGTGCTCCGGTGGCGCGGCAGCAGCAGGAGGCCCCATTAGCTAAGGTGGTGCTTCAGGTTAAGAACAGTTTCAGGTTAAGTACGGACCTCTGGAATGAATTAAGTACTTAGAACCTCTACAGTGGTACCTCGGGTTATTTGCCACGGGACACAGGTTATTTAAAACCATGAATTAACTCCCCCCCCCAAATAAAAAGGTAAAAAGAAGTTTATGTATAAAAGCTTCTTATCGCCCTGCTGGATTAGCCCAAAGACTGACCCAGCATCCAGCTTCCTGCAATGGCCAGCCATACACCCCTGGGACGTTCATAAGCAAGGCCTCACTCAGTTAAGTAGCCAATTCCCCATCAGATGGTATTCAGAGACATGCTGCATCTGATCCTGCTGGTAACATATAGTCATCACGATTAGCAACAAATGATAGCTTTAAAGAGGGAATAACCTATGGAGGATAAAGATCTCCGCATTGGTAAAATGCAACACATAACAGGTAGATATGCCCATGTACAATTATGGAGATGGGGGCATCGGCGTAGGCCAATCTTCCCCAACCTGGTACCCTCACAGACATTTCAGATCTAATAATTAGCCATGCTGGCTGGGACTTGTGGCAATTCTAGCCTAGCCAGCAATCCCTGGTGTGAAAATCAGGGTTTAAAAAGTACTCAAGTATTTCCAATTTTCACTATCAAAAATATAAAAGATAAATAATGAAAAACAAATTAAATATCCCAATCAACATAAATATAATGTATGATGATGGTGATTAAATGCCTCTGTTTTGTCACCTATGAAATATCAGAGTGGACATCTTCTCTTCTAGGTAGTTAAGTTTTCCCTTTAAAAAAATTGAAGTCATTCTTCCATTATCCTTTTCTCCTTTTCCATTACTTTCCCAACTCACTTTGAATCCATATATAATCTGTGCAATGAGTGCAATACAGTGGTACCTCAGGTTAAGTACTTAATTCGTTCCGGAGGTACGTTCTTAACTTGAAACTGTTCTTAACCTGAAGCACCGCTTTAGCCAATGGGGCCTCCCGCTGCCGCGCAATTTCTGTTCTCACCCTGAAGCAAAGTTCTTAACCTGAGGTACTATTTCTGGGTTAGCGGAGTCTGTAACCTGAAGTGTATGTAACCTGAAGCATATGTAACCCGAAGTACCACTGTACTTCCATATGACTTTTAAACGGAGATATGGTGCTTCCACATGACATAAAGGTGACTGACTCTGGGCTTGCAACGCTCATCTTGCTTTATTGGCCGAGGGAGCCAGCCTACAGCTTCCGGGTCATGTGGCCAGCATGACTAAGCCACTTCTGGCGAACCAGAGCAGCGCACGGAAACGCCGTTTACCTTCCCGCCGGAGCGGTACAAGTCAACATCAAAATGCCAACCCACAGCCAGCTTCCAAAAAGTCTCCCTATTTACCCTTCCCATGAAAAAATTACAGAAACCTGTTGTTGACTACCCATTCGCGATATCATAATAACCCGTTTGCAATATTAGGTCCCTATCTGGAAGGAAACCCCCCCCTCTCTTATTGAAAATACTAATTCAGACTATAACCCCATCCTTCGGCCACAAACTGCACAATGCTGCAGACACATTAACAATTTAACAGGATAATTAAAGCCAAAGGGGTTCCTCCCCCCCCACCTTTTTTTACACTGGTCGTTTAATGTCTGGCTACAATATGAAGCAATTAAAATGGGAACCTTCCACTCAGATATTAACAGAATACTACAGAGCTCCACGGAACCTGTTTGAATGCTAATCAGGACTCCTTTCGAAATGCAGACCAGACACAGACAAGATGCAGCTGACTGTGATCTTTCCAACGTAGCACAGAACTAAGCCAGTGTGTTTATCATTGTGCAGGGAGGCCAAGAATTTTCTTCTCGTTTTGCTGTAATCAATGTCAGTTGTGCAGAGGCCCCGAAGAACTCAGAACTGGCTGGCTTT